ATTTATCAAAGAGGACTAATTACTTCAGGTTTTTAATCAAGTTATAGATATAAAATAAGTACATTATTAGATAACTAAAGCTATGAACATGTCAGTATAACTACAATCTGTTCTTGTAAATATGTTGTCAATACAAAACATTCAAGATTGCTAAATACTATGTGAGATAATCTCGTTTTTTTTGTTTTAAAGTAGAAAGGCAAATAAAAAATAAATAATCATGACAATTATCAAAAATAACGACAACAACAACAGCGGTAGAATTAACAGTTACATAATCAAATTAACTTACCATCTGTTGGGATAGATCTACTCTAAATAACCGCATTATTAAAAAAAATAATAAAAATAAAGTTACTATGAAAAAAAAACATTTTTTGTTAGTGGGGGGGGCATTTTATAAAAACTTCAATTTAAAGTAAAGCTAATAAAAAAAACAAAATAATTAAAAACAAACAACTGAGGAATTACATCTCAGTAAACAGGGTTTTTTTTCCAATCAAATAGAAAATGATAAAGTAAAAAGAAGAAAAAAATACTCAAAAAAGAAAAACATTTAGTGTGTTAAATATTGTGAAAGAACATTTTGAAATCAACTGAATGAATCATTAAAATAATTAATATGAAGTAAGTTAATTATTAACCAGATTAATCTACTAATTATACATTAACAGAATAAATATTTAACTGATTAGATAATATAGATTTATTAATGTTATATAGTAATTATAGTAGCTTAGTAGACAACATGTTAAGTTTTTAAACTGAATAGTACTGAGTTCAAGTTGTGCAGCTAATATTAACATTAAGATTGATATATTAGTGTAATGCATAAATAATTTGCAATTCTAACTTCTATATTATGAACGAAACTATTATGAAATAACTAGTAAATTATTTAGAAAATATCATTTGTATCAGAAGGGGTTCTGTGGAGATTGTAGTAATTTCAACAATTGAGATCATGAGTCACTTGAAGCTAGACCACCATGGAAACCCTAAAAGCACTGGACGGCCGGCTCGTCCTATTGTGGGACCCTTCAGCAGTGCGGATTTATGACCCCGCCTAGAGGGATTCGAACCCAGGTCCTACCAGTGGAGTTCAACCAGGGCAGTTGTGAGGTAGTAACCCACTGATGACGATGGTGGATGTATCCTTCAATTTTGTGGATTAGTTGAAGTTAGACATTAACACCGTTGAATACCGGCTCAGTGGTCTAGTTAATTAAGCGCCTGGCGCGAAACTGATAGGTCATGGGTTCGAATCTCGTGAGGCGGGGTCATGGATGCGCACTGCTGACGGGTCCCATAATAGGACGAAACGGCTGTCCAGTGCTTTCAGGTTTTCCATGGTGGTCTAGCTTCAATTGACTCATGATCTCAGCTAATAAAAATATTATTTGTAACTAACACATAAGATGCTGATTAATTGCTTTTCCATAGTTTCAAGATTAGAATTAATAAAAAATTCAATATTATGAGATTATTATCGTTTTAATTAAAAACTTCGAATTCTAAAAGTTAACCTTAGTTTTGTTTATTTGAGGATCGAATGCTATATATATATGGGAAATCTTGAATTTCACTACCTTTCGATTTTTTAGAATCACAATAGAACGTCTATGCCACAGAACAAATACACTATCAGATAAAAATTTATCAATTTATAGCGTTACAAGTACAGTCTTTCTCTAATAAAACAATTGAAATTCTCACAAATATTTCTTCTAATTTCTATACACACAAATTAAGATTTACGCGTAAGAATCATTGCGTGTTTTATGTCCAAAAAAAAGAAGTAAAATAATGAAAATGAGAAATAGTCGAAAACACAATTTATCTGATTATTAAAGTGTGATGCATATTTTTGAATGAAATTTTATTCCCTTTTAAAGAAAACAAAACTAGTTACAATGTAATATCAGTTAAAAATACAAAATTCACACGAACTAACTAACAGATCACAAATAAAGGTGTAATGAATAATATCATAAGCATATTTAACTACAAGATTGATTGAAAGACTCCGTTATAACTTATACGTCAATTGAAATTGCTGTAAAAGGAACATAACTCAATCATTACTAATATCTTATGTCTAATAAATAAGAATTTTAATAGTTGAGATCATGAGTCAATTGAAGCTAGATCACCATGGAAAATCTGAAAGCACTAGATGGCCGTTTCGTCTTAATATATAAGAAACATTTTTTTGTAGTTTACTATTTGAGCTGATATAAAATAGACAACGAATGAAAATCAAGGAGCACTGAACATACTTTTTATTCCACTAAGAGACTCCTTAGCTGTAACGATCCATGACCACATCAGGAATCGATTTCTTGATCCCTATGACTTACAACATGTTTAATACCATATTAGAATGAAAAACTCATGCAGTACTTCCTGGTTCTCTGACTAAGACCAATTAGTGATAACGACTACAAAATACAACCACCTCGACAAACTTTATCTAATAAAGTGTTATCAGATAAAAAGACAACCACTGAATACAGTTCATAAAGATCCTTTGTAATTTAATTAAATCTATTTATATACTAAATATGAGTTCATATTAATATAATTCAACTTTTTTTTACACAAAACAGTTTTACATAAATAAACTTAATTTGAAAGAAACGCCTTCATTTAACGTAGATAATCTTAATTTCATCGCCCAAAAATACACTTTATGTTTGTGAAGGCGACAGACAAAAACTGTCAATTTTTCAGTCAATTATTTTAGAAATTTTACAATTCAGTAAATTCTTTTCCATATAAGTAATATGTATAAAACTTAGGCTATCACAATATTTAGTTTTAGATTTAATTGCAACCAAGTCATTTTCAAGTGATTGAACAATTTTAGTTCGATTTGTTGTTAATTTCCTTGAAAATGCTTCTTCAAGTGGATCAGACTAAACTGTAACATTATTCACTTTCGCTTTGAGTATACGAAAACTAATCTAAATATTATGTGAAGTTAAAAAATAGAGTAGACTCTTAGAAAACAGTCAACCTGAAACAGATCTATATGATGTTTAATGAAATAGTTTGACTATATGGATACCTATAATGAACTATAAACAATATCACAATTTTTACTATACTTCTCATAATCAGTCAGTCAGTAACAACGTAGAACTTCGTATGTGCATACATCAGTTCGAGTCGCCACACAAAATTACCACACAGATACAATTGTCGACTCAAATCCCATAGTGGTAGAGGTAGTAAGAGTATAAACACTAATCAGAAAGATTAGAGTTTGAAGACGCTTTTCAAAGAGTATATTCTGGTGAAACAAATTTGGAAAGAGAACAAAGAAAGGGACACGAAGAATTCAGAAGATTAGAATTTGTAGAACGCAAAGAGTGGATACACCTGCTCCATTGCAAACGATTTTGAGCCGTGTCATTCAAGGTCTCTAACCATCGATTGCTGTCGTCTCGCGGATCTCAACCAGGTAGTCTACACCTACCAGCATGGCTCAGTCCACTTATCAGTAACTTCATGGACTTGTGCCATGTTTTGGTCTGGCCGCCCCTAGCTTTCTTTCAACCTACTCCTACACCATAAAACATTGCACGTCGTGGCAGTCGGTGGTTGGGCATACGTAACACGTGTCCCAGCCATCTCAACTGATGAAGTTTCACTACTTCATCAATTGATTTGCCATCCTTACCTAGTACCCGTTTCCTAACAACTGCATTACTTACTCGATGGTCCCAGCATATACGAGCAATGTTTCAAAGACATCTATGATCGAATACTAGTAACCTACGAATATCCTCTACTCTTACCGGCCATGTTTCACTTCCATAAAGTAGGACGGAACGAACTGCTGCACAGTAAACACATCCTTTAGTTGATGGACGGATATCTCGCCTACACCAAAAATGACTCGAGTTGGCAAAAGCTAGTCGAGACCTCTGTATCCGTGCTGAGATTTCGTCACACACCAGACCACAAGGGCTGATGAGACTTCCAAGATAAGTGAAGCGGTCGACACACTCAACTACTTCACTCTCTATCATTAGTTCGAGTGTCGATGGAACCCAATCCTGAAGCAACATTTTGCATTTCGAGGAGGAGAATCGCATGCCGAACATGCTTGCATTGTTGCTTAGAGTGGTCAGAAGACTTTGCATTTTGTCAGCGTCTTCACCAAATAAAACTATGTCATCAGCATATTCTAAGTCAACAAGTGAACCTCTTGGTAGAAGTTCAACCCCTGGAAATTTACATAAGGAAAGTGTCATCTGTAAAAGCACGACAAAGTTAAACAAGAATGAAAAGAAAGGACAACCCTGACGAACACCACTTGAGGTAATCAATTCTGATGACAGTTCGCCATAAGCTCTCACTCGACCAGTTGTGTTCGAGTAGAGGTCCTTTACAAGGTTAATGTACTTCTTTGGTACTCCTTTCAGTGACAAACATTGCCATAGAACCTCACGATCAACAGAGTCGAATGCCGCCTTAAGGTCGAGAAATACTATGATTGTGGGGCATCTGAATGTGTGTCTATGTTGTATGACGTAGTGTGAATATCTGGTCTATACAACCACGTCCAGGTCGAAAACCAGCCTGATTTTCTCTAATCTGCTCTTCACGTGCTTTAGCTAGACGTCGAAGTATTATTGAAACTAATATTTTAGACACTATATTAGTCAAACTGATTCCTCTGTGATTGTCACAAAAGGACTTTTTTTCCTTTCTTATGAACTGGCACAATCAGTGATTGAGACCAGATTCGGATGGGATTATGTCCAGTCCCCAGATTCTAACTATACTTCTCATACTATTATAAGCCATTTAATAAACCATTTTTTTTAAAAAAGTGAAATATTGTGTATAAATACTACCATGTGTTTTAAAGTTCTTGATTGAAAATTCATTCATTGAACTATTTACTTCACTTTAAAATTGGGCCTAGATCAATTTGAAAATATAAAACAATAACTAATCTTAGCATTTCAAAAAGTATGCAAGAACATCCTACTTGAAAATCTGTGTTATTTATATAACTAAAAACAACCAACAAGTCTTAATTATAAAAAAAGAGCATTAAAATGGAAAAGAACGATAATTTTACAAAATATATCTTTCTATGACATTTGACTTTATTATATTCTGCTTACACATACAACATATAATATTTATATATTGTATCTTATGTATTTTAGATAAAGATTCGTTTAGTTTCTAACTAATTCTTTTGCAAAAATTATCCAATATTTATGATCTTTTTTAGTTGATTTTTATATCACTTAGTTTGTAATTTATAGACTGAAACAATGCCAATGAAGTTTAACTAGTTATTCGTCTATAGAATGCGGTAGAGAATGAGAGAGAGAGAGAGAGAAGAAAAACAGAACAATAAAATTATACAACCCGAAATACATCCTTTTGGTGATACATTTTTTTCAATTAGTACAAAGTCATATATCATTTCATTCAGAAAATAGAATTTATAAATATAATTTGTGCAACGCAAAATGCAAATATTTTCTGGTATATTGGAGAAAAGAGTTGAAATAATCAAAATATTTATTTCTAAATGGATATACGCCAATTTATTTGTAAAGAAATATAATCAAAACTTTCTGGTCAGAAGAAGAATATGAAGACTGCAAAAACAACATGGTAACAGTAGTATTAGTAATAGTAATAGTAGTAAGTAGTAGGTTAGAAAATAACCTCAAATAAAAGGTTTATGTACAAATTTGACAATCGTCAAAATCTAATCAGAAGTGTCAGAAGAGTTTGAATCTGAAGAAGAAATTGGTGCTTTACGAGAAACTTTCTTACTCTTGTGTTGTTTTTTATGTTTTGTTTTATGTTTTCTTTTGCTGTTCTTTGGTTTTTTATGTTTAGCGGAACCACGATTGACAAGATGAGATTCCTAGAATGAAATTAAAGGAAAGTAAAATAATAAACAATTATCTGGGTTTTTTTCAATGTAAAGTGATGACTAAGTAACCAAACTATTAGACCTTAAGTAATAAGCTCTCAAACCAAATCCGGTAACTTCGGTATGAACACACCGATAGTGTCAACAACTCCTGTGTACTGTGGCGCATAGGCGAGTACATGATAAACCAGATACATTAAAATCATTAGTCTATTTTGCTTTGTCCACTGTCCCAATTCATCCTTTCGTAATAATGTGGTGTAGAGACTTAGTTTGATGGATATGTGTCTTAAGTTCCACAATGCTTATCACTGATAGATCACTCTACTGTGTGGTAAATAATACAGTAAAGGATCTATATATATTATATTCATACATGAGTGTGTGTTGATCAAACACTAGTCACCTTCCACGATTAATAACAACTTTTCTTCACAGACTGAACTAAATTAAAACATTAATTCACTTGATCTTATAATACAGTCTCCAGAAATCATACAATTAGGTTATTATCGATACTTGTACTTAAATTTTACTGACAACTCCATCAACACAATAATAATAAGCTTATAAATTTTAAAACGTTTTACTAACAAACAGTTTTATTAACATAGGTAAAATATAAAATACGTTGGATGTTAGCGGAGTAATTTCACTTACCACAAATAAAATATCATCTGACAAGGTAGAACATGATGCTTTTTCTTGATCTTTTGTCAAAGAAATTGGATTAGCTTTATCAGATGTAGGAGCTAAATAAACAATGAAATGAAGCATTAGAGAAAAGAAGATATGATGATTTTAAACAGAAACTATTCGAAAATCTCATAAATAAGACTTAGAAATGAATGAACAGTTTAAGACGAATAAATATTTTCAATGACTGGTGACCAATGTACCTGTATAGATGTATATTGTATATACTGATGGATAGTTTTATTACGTTGTCTAATACTCTGGCAATGAAAAATTCTACACTGTTGTTATCTTATAATATAAAATGATATTTGTATATGGTATTTCGAAAAAACAACAGCCATAGAAAATAGAATGGATTATAGTGCTTAAACTTGGAAGAAATACAAAAACATACCAAAGGTTTTTATTTATCTTAAACATGCTAATCGTTAATAGACTGAATTGAATGTGACGCAGTTTAATTTGATGATCAAGTATGATCTCATGTACCGATCCTCTAGTAGTATGTCTGGTATGAACTATCAGATAATCCAATTACTCCTTTGACGTTGTAATGAACCAGAACACAGGTGGGGACAACCGATTTATTGATTGACACAAAATTACAGAATCATCTTGATAAAATATGAAAATCATACACTAAATACTTCATCTGCGAAATTCTATAATTTGTCCTTCACATTCTATATAATTCTTCCAATTCACAATTCCTTTCTATTTCTGTTTTCTTCAAGTCAACCTTCATAGACTTCTACTACCAGGTTTTCCACTTCTAATTGGTGTTACATAGTATTTATGTCTGTCGACATAAATAGTATACACCACAACGTTATTATGAATGAAAAACGAAGTTAAAATTTAAAGATTTCATTGTGAGATTTGTAAGTATTGACTATGTAAGATGATAAATATAAAAGGATATTGCGCTAGAAATTCTACCACTATTCTCGAGGACCTAATCATTAGTTTCAATAAATTATTTAACAAGTACTGATAGCTCTTCGATTTCCCGTTGAATAAAGTCTGAATACAGTTATTTCACGATTTTTTTTAGTTCCGATGAAACAGAAACCAACTAAAAATGGTCATTCAAACACACCAGTGATATCCAGATAAATAAAAAAATTACAAATACAATCGAAAACATACTAAAATTCGGCGGTAAATCCGGTCCATACAATAAATCCGGATCGAGATTATTCTGTGAGGGGGTTTGAACTTTGGACGATACTTCAGGTCGTGTAGTCATTCGTGTTAAGCCGGATAATGGACCACCTAAAAAATTAAGGTAATAAGAAATATGAACCAGTTAATAGATTATTGTAAATACAAACTTACGCATATCTCCATTCGGTTCAAATAGATGTGAAAATAATGTATGTGCTTTGAGTAAATCAGGTTGATCTAAAAAGATAAGTAAAATATTCCAGATAATCAAAAGCAAGATATCTCGAAATTACCATTAGACAGTTCAACAGAATTCGATTTGCTAACTCTCGATACGGTTAAATCATCATTTTCACGGTCTTTATTGTTAATATTATCATCAACGTCGTTATCTGATAACGAAGATGAACTCAATTCTTCATCAGATGCAAATATTGATTTGAACAAATCCATTGGAGGCTTATCTGTATGATCAGTAAGAACATCTATGCCTATTTTCGGAAGAGAAGGACCCATAACCCGTGCATTCTAGTAAACAAAAAGTAAAAATGAAACGTGCGTGATTATTTTATAAAGTGTATTAGTGAGTTCTTATTTCTTATGTCAGGATATTAAAACACGTTGCATCTATAATGATGACGAAACGAAGGCACTATTATTGACTTATAGTGTTTTTATACTTATTACCTATTTATTTAAACACAAACACTGGTATAAGGAGGCACCAAATGCGTATGCGCCACACAAATCATTTGACGTGTGTAAGGGCTAAGATACCTCCCGGGTGCCCAAAATGAAGCAGGTGGTTTTCTTAGGGAACCACCTCCCGCGCCCTTGACCTAGAGGTTTAATCTACAAGGCAGTAGAGCAATGCAAGAAGATTGAGTCTCATGGTAGCCAGTGACCAGCGATAAATTTATACGCCATTTGTTCCTTCAGGATCCTGGAGCCCACGTGCACCATTGGTTTGAAATCAGGGTTTGTCAGCTGTCCTAGGTGGATCCTTCATATCTAACAATTCGGTTAAAGCGCCGGACATTCGCTTTTCGTGATCTCGATTTCGTGAGCAACACTCTAACCGCGAGAAGGCAGTGAGTGGGAATTCTCTTGCAGCAGCTGTAAACGCGTGGCAAGTGAGAGCAGTTCAAAAGGGAGAGCTGACTTTCCCCACTCTTGCTCGTACCAGGGTATTTGGGGGCGTTTTTATGCTAGATTTGTACATAGTCATACAGTTAGACTGATAAAGTTATATGTGACATATGTTATTATTCTGTTCTTAACTCAAATGATAGAACTATTTTAACACATGTTTAACAATTCATTTCAGTCTGTCGTCATCAACGTATGGTCTGGTAAGAATGAGTATTAGCCAAAGTCCTCATACCATATCGGCACAATGAACGAAATTTAACAAGATGAATAGCTAACTATTCGAAATAATGGTATAATGTCAGTGACAGTGAGAAAAACTAAGCATTGGAAAATAAGTTACAAAAAGAAGATATGTATGAAAAGATACTTAAACTCAAAACTTAGGGGAAGATAAGGAGTGAATCCGGCTGCGTCAATGGGACCGATTTCAATACTTGGAACCCAGTAAGATGCCTAAGACAAAGTCAGTGATTTAATAAATTTGGCTCTACTGCTACTAGCTTTCTTCCAATCTAAACTTAAATTAGTCATCATCACGCGTCGAGGTAAACGGTATATGAGAATACTTAATACATGTTACAGCCATCTCAGTTGATAAAGTTCACAGTCGCCATACGCGAGTAATTTTTCGAAGACATCGGTGGAGAAACAGTAGTAACCTACGAATATACTCTACCCTACAGTAGATACCATTCCAGCGGAAGGAAAATATCAATACATGGACAATATATAATCTTAAAAGTTAGATAGAAAAGGTATTTGAGTTGATTACTTCCTTGACATTTTAACTCAATAAATACTAGATTTTAAAGTAACATCCATTAAAGATGTCTAGCCTATGTAAATGAAAAAAAGCAGTGTACGAAACACACAAAACAAAGAACCCCTCTATGAAGAAAGAATTAAATTATATAAGTAAAAAAGTAGAAAATAACATTAAATGTCAAGATTTAAAAAAAATGATACACTTGTTAACGCCATTTTAACCAATTTTGAGATAGATCACCTAGTCTACAATCAGATAACCGATAAGAATATGTCATGTAAGGTTTAGTGCAAGAATCAAAGGTACCGGATATTAATAAAATCTGTAGACAAATACACCATAAATGATAATTTTTGAGCAAAACGAAACTTACCGATTCATTCACAATCTCATTGGTAGTATCATGAGAAATTTTGTCTGATGGTTGAATGTTTTCTAACAAACTATTATTATTATTTTCCACAACATTGTCTTTAGTCTCGATTGTTTTACTCTGCTCAATAGATTGAAACAAAGTTGCGAATAAAGCTTTTCCACGAGACTGAAAAGTTGTACCAGTCGGGTCAGGCCTATAGGGTGTATTACTGGCAGGAAGTTCTGAAATAATACCAGAAGGATCGTTGCTGTCACTGTCAGAAGAATAAGACTCGTCACTTAATTGTTGTTCACAGGAAGTAATATTTGAAGAATTCAACTTTTGAATTGAACCAGTAGTGTTAACATCCAATAGATCGAAAATAGAAAACTCATTTGCCGTGGAACTATCAGAGAATCTACTTTTTCCATGTTTACCAAACTTTTGACGAAAAGGATTACGAGGACGTCTATCATCTGGACAGCCAATAAAAGTGGAACTATGAAAGAATGAAAGAAATTGTGTAAATTTAACAAACGTTTAGCTTTTATTCATGCAAATCATTTTAAAAACCCTAAGGCAATTTTCCGAATAAGGAAAAAGTTGAAAATAAGACTAAGTGAACATAAAAAAGACAAACTGAAATAGGATACAGTAGAATATCATAAATGAAATAGACTTCTATTATGAAATGTGATTTTATGAGCGAATGAGTTAGGTGATTAAAATGAATAAATATAATGCTGATAAATAGAAAATATATAATGACACAATGTGGTCAAGTGATGGCTACCCATGAGACTGAATTATTGACACAAGCCTACAATGAAATTGATATCAGAAAACAAGACAGTTGCCCAACAGAATAGACTTTTTTCTTCTGACAAAATAACATGTTTATATAACAAAGTGTTGAGCACAAGAATAAAAATGGTTGTAATTTGCTCAACAAATACATGAATAAAGGATATTACAACTATGGGTCATTCACTCTTCAATGGGATGTTGAACTATTAAGCTTAATTCTTGCCCATCATATCCAGTTTAAGTTCGATTTCATAAAATAATTGTGACATTTTTTATATAGACAGTTTCATAGAATAACTTCAGAAGTAGTTTTGACAGATTAATGTTAATTGACTAAAGCATTCAATACAGATATATATATTATTAACAATTGATGTTAAAAACATCACTATTAAACGAACTTTTTACAACGAAGCAGATTGCTTACTTTTCATATTAATAAGTATAAATTACCGACACTATTCACCCTTATATAATTTATCACTAATAAATATTTTTATCAATCAGTCATAGCCAATATAGAACCTGGAACATATGTATCTCAATTCAAGTAGCCATACTCCATTAGCATAATGAAATGAAATTATTTGGGTAAATCTCAAAGTTCTAGAGTTAGTAACAGTATTAGTGGCAATAGAAAGGTTAGGCATCGAAGATGCGATTGGAAATAAAATATTGAATAGCGCAATAAAAAAATAATTTACGAGATAATTTAGAAACTTAGAATTTAAGGCGACATACAGTGAATGCATCTGTGTCGTTGAGAAATATTTCAAGTCACGTCACCCAAACTGTTGTGACTTTATGTCCGGCTTTTTATCACGTGATTTATCCACCAATCAAAATACAACTTATACAATCTTATCACTGTGCCAAACCAATGACGTTCGACCGGTATGAACAGCCTAGCGTCCTTATTGGTCCTATGTCCGCCTAGCACGTCCACTTGATTCCAGAACATCAATAAAAGCTTCCACTATGCGAATCGAACCATTTATTTCAGACATACCGGGTTTATATATCAACCAAACAGACCGCAACGCACCATCAAATAGGAAATAACATTACAAATGTTATTTCCTAAAGCCAAAAAGTGGCTGTGAACGTGGGAGGCAGTAGTCAATAAACTGAACATAGCTTAAGAACCGTAAATCGTACAATAATAAATTATAGGTCAAAACGAAGCTTATAATAAGAGGAATATAAATATACATAATCTAATTATTGAATAGTTATACCATAAGAATGTATCGATAATATAAGTCGATTAATATGTCTCAGAAGTTACTCATGATTTAATCTTCACTCGGATATAACACAAACTTTCTAACCATTGGTTATAATAATCACGTCAATCTCAACCTACCTACAGCCAGTGACTTTAAGGACTGATACTATGTCTTGGTTTGGTTGACCGTAGCTTTCTTCAGACTTAATCTTACACCAGTTATCATCGCCCGTCGAGGTAGTCAGTGGATAAGATTACTTAATACATATATCCTAACCATCCCAGTCAATGAAGATTCACTACATCATCAATTGATTTGCCCCCTTCACCTAGTACTCTGCGACTAACCTCATAATTAATTAGGTAGTCTCAAAATATAGGAGCGATGCGTTAAAAATACCTATGATCAAATACTAACAACCTATGAATATCCTCCATTTTTAAGGACCACGTTTTCCAGCTATGTAGTAGAAGAGAGAATGTTGATGAGCAGTATACTTGTCCTTTGATTAGCCAATGGCTGTCTCGCCTTGGCAATAAGTGAAGTTGGCAAAAGCCAATTATGCTTTACGAATTTATGCCCACCACGGTTGAGATTTCTGAGAGAAATGGATTGATCGAGACATTCAACTATATTCACTTCAAGAGTCTGAAGATTTGTAGCTTATGTGGAGTTTTGTTCTCTGAACTAGATGATTTGGTAGAAGTTTATGCTGATGATGTCGCTCAGAAGAACGATTAAAGCTCCACAACCAAATCACCTAGCTCAGAGAAAAAAAACTCCATCTAAATATATTCAATTTCGATCATTAGTTTAGACCTTGACACAGACCAGTCCAAAGTAACATTTTGTATTTAGTAGGAAAGAAACAAACTCCAAAAATACTTGAAATATTATTTAAGGCGATCAAAAGACTTGGTATTTTATAAGCATTTTCATCAAACAGAACCATATTATCTGTGTATCGTAAGTCAACAAGAGAATTTTAATGGTTCCACTAACTATCATAAATTTCTTCTTAATAAATAAAATCAACTCAATAAAAAAAATTGTTATTGAAAAGCTAGAAAAATATCACACATTTATAATAATCTATAACATCTTTACATAATAATAATACTATTATATAATAATGTTAAATAATAATGGTTGACCCTCTATTGATAACTGGAAGACTTTACAATAAGAATAAAACAATGCTTATTTAATTTACAGTTTAAAATAAGGTCCGTGTCAATCAATGTATCATTTTATCAAAGGTCATATAAGAAGAGAAAATAAAATAAATTACAGGTATTCTTCTTTAAACAAAAAAAAAGTAACAGTTGTCTTTTTCACACAAAGTTTATTTATCTTAAGTGGTAATATAGTAAATATTATACATCATAAATAAATAAAAAACATCAGCTTGTAACAATAGTAAATAGTAGTGGAACAAATTTAAATTGTTAACTTAATTTGTTCTATACAGTTGGCCTCCATTTAAGGTATTTAAACAAAGCAAGAACAATTGAATCAGGATTATATGTATTCACTCTATGTTATGTACACTATTCAGTTATGTTTTAGATATAACCTCAAATGACCTTGTATATATATATATCGATAAAAATAAGGTTGTAAGGAGCTGAAAAAATCCATAAGATGTATAACCAACATTAAAAACCTGGATGCACTGGATGGCCGTTTCGTCCTAGTATGGGACTCCTCAACAATGCGCATCCACGAGCCCATGCAGGGGACTCAAACCCAGGACCTTCAGTCTCATGCGCGAACGTTTAACATTTGGACCACTGAGCCAGCATCTGATGGTGCTAATGTCTAACTTCAACTAATCCACGATATTGCGTGACCATCTTCCACTGTTTTCGGTGGGTAACTATATCACACCTGAGACTGTTGAACTTTACTAGGGTGAAATAGCCGTCAAGTGCTCTCAGGTTTTCGTTGGTGATCTAACATTGATCGATTCATGATTTCAATTAAAAAAGAATAATTAGGAAGCTTTTAGAATTTCATTAAAATCATGAGCCAATTCAAATTAAACCAACATTGAAAACCTGAAAGCACTGGATGGTCGTTTTATCCAAGTATGGAACTCCTCAGCAATGTGCATTCATAATCGCACCTGCGGAGATCGAATCCAAGACCTCCGGTCCCACATGCAAGCGCTTAACTTCCAGACCAATGGTCTAACCTAGATAGATTCATGAAATTTCAGTGAAATTCAATAATCTCCGCAATTCTTCGGTGACAGTTTTTGAAGAAATTCTTTTCAGTGAGTGAATAACTTTGTAGCACTTAATGTTAAAAGATTGGCCTATATAAATTTTCTTTGGAGTAGAATATAAAACAAATGTAGACTAATTAACTTTACGAATGATTTTTACTAATTCCTCGAAACGCATTGAGTTTATGATTGGAAAAGATTAACACTAAAAAGGAAAATTAGTATCATTCTACTTTTTTATTGAAACATAATTTATTTACTCAATGTCCAGATTATACTTGTCAAAGTAGAAATAAAAATATTATTAATAACAAACACTTACTCAGGATACGGATCAGGAACATTTATACGTTTACATAAAATTTTATCAGGATGCCATTTTAAACGCCGTCTAGTTAAAGCTCCATAAGATTCTGTTGCAACAGCATGATCACGTGGTTCAACTGTATCTAAGCTCTAAGTGAATAAAAAGAATAGGGATTACATAAACAACGTATAGTTACATTTTCTTAAGAAAAATGAAAAAACAATAAATTTATATAATTGTATACATTAAAAGCCTAATGACATCATGATCTATTTATTTAACAAAAGAAATAATATCAACTTCATTTAGACACAACAATTTTAGACAATGGTCTGTGAAAACTTGCAACAAGTCAACATCTAACATTAGTTCACATTTTACACACTGCTTTGGTATTGTTTTTTCCAAGTCTGAAAAAACATCCCTCGTTAATGACCCCAATAATAAAGTAGTTTTTTAATTAAAAGAAAATTAAATTAAGACATAAAGACAGGAGTGAATGGTACGATAAGCAGATCTCTTTTCAATTGTACAATAATAATTAAATAGACTTCTCGAATTGGTAATTTATATGTTTACTAACAACTGTTTCAGTGTATAAATGATAACTTGAAAAAAATTACCAATCTGAGTAATTATATGGCAAGGTTTATCAATAAAAATATAATACCTGAACATTTAATAACGCTAGTGATTTTTTATACCAGAATAGAAGATTCTATACACGAACGACAACTTCAAATGTGATACAGTTGCAGAGAAATAGGAAAATATTTTGAGCCCTTTCAAAATCGAAAGAAGCTTTCCAATGACCTAAACAAGCAAGTACACCCGCTTCTGTTCAAATTGATGAGTTTTTCTAGGGAACTGTATGTTGGTTATTTGAAGCACACTCTACATTAAAGCATTTAACAGCATTATTCCATGTAGTCAAAAAACAGCAAACCTGTCAACATTGATTATCTAACAAAAACTAATCAACTATGACATAAAAACAACTTACCAAAAGTAGTGTGTTTTCGTGCATTTCTGGAATGCATAACCTTCATAAAAGAAATTTTCAATTATAAATACAAAAGAAACATATCCGACTGCCTCAACTAAGACAATAAATTTCCGGTCGAACAGATTATCGATTTATCATACCCCAAACAAAATTGTATCGTTGTCTCTCTATAATCTTGTTGAATTTATATCATTTTAGAAATCATCTCATCATTATTATGCAATCTATTTTCATAATCATTCTTTTTCCGTATTTCATTTCTAAGACATTTTCAGCCGATTTTTTAACTTTGATAACAAGTAATTTTCTTAATTAAAAATAAAACCATTCCTTTGTTACTACATTCAATAGATTATTATTATTATTATTATTATTATTATTATTATTATTATTATTATTATTATTATTATTACTAACAAATATATCATAGTTGGCTATTATAAAAAAAACTATACACATTTGATGATCAGGAAAAAAAATGCCCAAAAAGGTAATCGCTTTGCTGAAACATTGTTTCCTCTTCCTTTCTCTCTATTGTTTTAATGTAATTAAATAATCAAGATAAATAGATTAATTTTGACTGAATATAGCTATGAAAAGTAAAGATCTTTATAAAAAAAATTTAATTTGTTTGAATGATAGGAAAATGAACTTACTTCAACTCGTGCTCGTTGAGCTTTCTCCTCTTCTTCAGTTAATTCTTTACTGATATCCATACAACCAGCAGAACGAAATCTTAAAGCTAATTTCGATGAGATCAACTGTTGTTTATGAAGTGGTAATTTATTTGATAATGGCAGTAGTCTATCAGAAGGATCAGAAGATATAGTTGATGCAATAGAGGTTGACGTTGAAGTTTGACAAATCATTGTATCATTATTCATATTCACTGGATCCATTTGAGAAGAATTATTAGTACTTGACATTTGATTCATTTTAATAAGCGTTTGAAACGAGTTAGCTTCACGTTCCTTCTCTTCATTGTTTAAATCCAATAGGGTAGAGCAACGATGATAAGCATCTTCATCTATAGTGGATAAAGAGTGAGGAAAATTTGTGATATTAAAAACATTTCAATGAATATAAAACTAGGTAAACTGTATAGTATAGGATAGGACAAAAGAAAAAGATCAGAAAGCAATCGATATATTACTCGTAAATTACACAATTAAAATCAATCTTTTTATTCCTCAGAAAAAACATCAAATTTTTAAATTTTATAAATATAGAAAACAAAAACTGGACGAAAATAGTAAAATGTTTCGTTTGGTTTAAAATTATAAATCAATTAAGCTGTCATATGAACTAAAAAGTGCAGGAATTCAACACGATCCAGTAATATATTGATACACTTTTCAGTGATAGTCCCCAAATGAATTGTACGGGGCAGAGAGTGAGGAGAAACTTCTTAAACCGCGCTTAAACGACGTTGGTGTGTACTGAACAATCTACCTGGGAGAATAGGAAAACTATTTGCAAAACAATGGTGCACGTGAGCTCAAGGGTCCTGATGAAACAAATGGGGTACGAACCCTTCCTCGGTGACCAGGTACCATGGAAGTGCATCACCTCAAGTCGCTTCATTCCATTATGGATTGGACCTCTAGGTCGAAAGCCTACCGAGTGGCCCACTAAGAAAACCAGCTGCTTAGATTCAGGCACTTGCGGAGCATCCCAGCCCAAATAAAATTTAATGATAATTATTTTGTGTGGTATTTACATATTTTAGTGCACCTTTGTACCAAGTTTGGTATGTTTAAATAAATAAATATATAAATAAACACAATGATATGAAAGGATAAATGTCAAAAGGAGTGACAAAGTAAAGTATCAGTTGACAGTGCATGTATATATCAATATGAATTAATATATTTATCAGGGAGAAAAAATTGTTATAAATTCGATACAATAGCATCGAATGAATAATATTCAACACCACCAACATTCTGATATAGATTCGAATAGTTGTCAATAATCTCAACAACCACTTAGTAATATTATTAAGAGAAATAATTCAGAAAGAAGTATTACGACTAATTTTACTCATAAAATCTATTGAACGATGATTTTTTAGAAAAACAAACAACGTAGAATTATTGTTGGTTCGATCGTACTACCAGAAAGATCTGTAAGTGACTTAAATGCAAAACTATCATAATGCCTATTATTATTATCACTCTTGATATTGTTTTTATTATAATTATGGTCATTAAGCAAAATAACACTTCTATTTTACTTTCAACATTCGTCTCTTAATTCTTACATTACTATACTACTGACCATTCATCAAGATATTTTGTTAGTTCCTTCTTCTCTTTGTATATATTATGCGACGTAGCAACTGCTTGATTTTCGAATAATTACTTGGATTATTATTAATCCTCTTTCTTGTAATTACTCAATGTTAATTTATAATCGATATATCATTATACAATTATTACGCAACGTATCAACTCGGTGAGTATTATTTCATCATTGTAAATTATATATAATGTTGAAAGTAAAATAGAAGTGTTATTTTGCTTAATGACCATAATCATAATAAAAACAATATCAAGAGTAATAATAATATGGATTATGATAGTTGTGTATTTAAGTCACTTACAGATCTTTTTGGTAATACAATCACATCAACAATAATTCTACGTTGTTTGTTTTTCGAAAAAAATCATTGTTTAATAGATTTCATAAATAAAATTAGTCGTAATACTTCTTTCTGAATTATTTCTCTTAATAATATTACTGAGTGATTATTGTGAAATTCAAGGAAGAAAGAAACAGACAGAGAATGATAACGTTGAACATTTTATAAAAGTGGGCAGATTCACAATACTTTGATTGAAATCATGAGTCGATTGATGTTAGACCATCATTAAAAATTAAAAGAACTGGACGGACGTTTCGTCCTTGCATGGGACTCCTCAGCAGTGCGCATTTAAGTCCCCGTAAGCTGGATTTGAACGCAGGACCTTCAGTTTCGCGCGCAAACGCTGAGTCGGCATCCCATACTAAGACGAAGCAGCTGGCCAGTGCTTCCAGGTTTTTAATGGCAGTCTAACATCAATCGACTCATGATCTCAATCAAAAGCTTAACACTCTCCACAACCCCATACTGATAATCACAATGATACATTGGTAACGATATGGTAATTAAAAAACAGGACATAGGATGTAGAAAACCGAAATGAAGTAGATTAGGAATACTTATGGACAGCAAGCAGTTAGTTATTAAAAAATTGATCACGATTTTAAGAGAGATAAAATAGTAGTAATACTCTGATATAAACAGTCTGGAGAAAGTTTTCATTCAAGTGATATACAGCATGTTGACAATTTATTTCAAAGAATTCTTACTCATTACCTTAACATACATGTACTGTCAGATAAGTGAAAAGGACGACGGGTGCTTAAATCAGGCCAGTATGCATGGAGGGCTCATCCAAAGAATACTCCAGGATGTTAAATCAACTAAAAGCATATACATGGACTTACTATGGAAGTGAGTATATTGGCCTTTCTACATCTTTCAGATACGACCTTTAGCTCAAAACCTAGGAAGTTGGTTCAAATAGTAAGAATATGACTGAAATTGATATAATTATTGTAAGCATATGAAAACCAAGAAGTACTCAAAAGCTCTAGAATCTCCCAATTATAAAAATACATTAATCGTCTGGTGAACACCAAGCTTTGAGGTCTCCTGACTCATGAAACACTGGAAAATATTCGAATGACTTTCTCAAGTTCTAATATGTGACGTATACAAACAGACTTTCAAACTAACACCGATTCCTAGACCACGATATTGATAAAGTCCATAGTTTTCTAACTAAGAAAGATAACGTGCTGAAGAAGAGCTATCAGTTTATCACAAATTTCAGGATTCCCACTCTGAAAAATAATTTTAACAAGTATCATACTTAGTTTTCAACAAAAATTATATACACATATATATTTAGAAACATACGGGCAAATCCTCGACGAACAAGTACTTGGTAAGCCTCAAACCGTGCTTGTTTATTACTATCCGCTTTAAAAATCTTCAGCAAACCAGCAGTTGGATTAGAAGTAGTAAAAGCGGCCAGTTTATTTGAATTTTCAGATTGATTTGATTGTTGTTCAGCTGGAGAATTCTTTGAAACTAGGGCTGGGACAGGAAGGCCCGCTGCTGCAGCCTGCAGACGGAGTTGTTGGATAGGATCTAACTTTTCATAAACTGAATCTTAAATTAAATTAAATAAAGCAAGTTGACAGCAATCAGAGTGGCTTTACCGTTAGTATTTTCAATACAATTAACTCTCTACTCTAATGTTTTTTTTTAAGAACAAAATGAGATGATCAGAAATGAAAATGCATAAACATACAGGATAAACGCATAAAAAGGTTATATGAATATAAGAGACAACTTAGATTAAATGCATAAAACATTTAGAATATTTCAATACAACAAGTTATTATAGATTATGAATGATGATAGGAAAGTATGTGTAAAAAATATTTAAAATGATTCAACTGTTGTAATGGCATTCAGTTTTGTCGCTTCTTTTTGTAAACTTTAGAAGATTTTTCTTCACTTTGTCCTCAGATAACATTATTACAATTGATATTATTTATATAAATCAATTTCAATTCCTTTACGTTACTTTTCATACAATTATTTGATTACAACTAATTACATATATCTATTTTTTTACCAAGTAAATAATATTCATTCTTTTTGTTTGAATAGATTTTATAACAAAACCAACTTCCAGCTGAAGAAGAAATTAGGAAAAGACGATGGAAATGGATAGGACATACATACTGCATCACGAGACAAGCCTTAACTTGGAATCCTGAAGGGAAGCGAAAAAGAGGAAGGCCAAAGAACGCATTGCGTCGGATAATAGAAGCAGATATGAAAACGATGAATTACAACTGGACGGAGCTAGAAAGGATTGCCCAAGACAGGGTTGGATGGAGAATGCTGGTGAGCGGCCTATGCTCCTTCACGAGGAGTAACAGGCGTAAGTAAAATGTAAGTAAGATTTTATAACATCTACTTTCACCAATACTTTTCTTTTTGATATGATGTTTTGTTTCAAATATCTACTGCCAGAAAATTTAGTATCCTTAATGCAAAACATGATAATTTCTTGCAAATATACTATTTATGTCTTCGTATATTAAATCAGGTTAAAAAATAACTGGAATGGATAGTGATTCTTTATACGTATTATCGTCTACTTCAGTTACTAATGGGAGGGTCCTAATAGTTGAAGAACTAACTATGCAGAGCACTTAGTTTTATAGCAACTCTTCTCCAATCCATTTCGATTATGAATACGTTTTGCTAAGCCATTTTATAAACTCACTTAACAGATAATGTTATTCGGACAGTAACAATGAGAATATTTCTTCGTATTATTAAGATCATTATCATGTATGTATAAACGTGTACGCTTGATCACAAGACAGCCTATGCAAATATCTCTCGCTAGCTAAAATGTTAATCGCTTAAATATCGCTCGACGAGTCACTTTCTTCCCCATGTATATATGTACTCGAATCCCATTATTAGACTTTGCTTTGCCCCTATGCGGTTTGACTACAAATTCGCCTCTGGAATCGCTCGCGAACACATTCGCCTCTTTGCCTCAAATTCGCTAGATGTGATTGTAGCTTTTTGATCTGTGCTATCCACTAATAAACTGTAGTTGCCGCTTCTTATTGCCTTCTGATGTCAAACATCGATGACTTTTATATAATAGCGGTTATCAAGGTGATTGATTAACGAAGCTGAACCACTACTACAGTTTTCAACCAATAGATTATGAAACAGAACCCCACATGAGATACTTCAATATATATAGCTGAGTAGTGATATTTACGAACACTTCATAAATGTGGCTCAAAGATAGGAATACCAACACGCATTTATATAGTACTTGATTGATAGAAAAAATATGTAGGCGGTGGTCTTCGTCAAATAAACCAATTCACTCACAATCAGCTTGCCCACACTTGTATTATTCACTTGTTATATGGTCGTAAAACAGCAGATGTCTCCTATTATTAAAACACAATCCAAATTTTGTTCTTCAAGTTGACTACAACAGTATGGTGAATAATAAAATCAGAACACTTAATAAAGATGACTGTTAGCTGATATAATAATGTTAACAGAGGGAACGTGATCAAAAGTATCTCAATAATCGAATATTATTATTTTAGTCCAAAAATAACCAATAAAATTTTCCCAATAAATCAATGAATTATCAGCAATACGCATCATAACTAAAATTTAATATAATTTTAAAAACATGACAAAATCTATGAATTCCTGTTTGTATATGAATAATTTTACCGGTAAAATATGAGTTACTTATGAGTAGTATAAAATACCAAAGAAACTTCCATCAACTATTTGGTTATATGTTTTTAATACATCCCAAACTTGCCTTAATGAACCACTCAAATATATTTGATTAGATTTGAATCACGTAGAGTACATGGCAAAATATCTGGTATCGAAAATAGAGAATCTATAGATTGAATCGTCATAACGGATAGACAATCAGTAACAAAATAAAGTCAAGAAGTTCAGTGCATCCATTTACGGAGAAAAAAATCTCAAACGAGAAATACAAATATGAAATATTCTGAGTAACTAGCACTTAACTATATGACTTAAACCCAATAAAACTACAAGAAAGAAAATCTTTTTACACTGATCAGTTATCATAAAAATCGTGTAGAACAATGAAATACTTTTATCTATCTCAAGTTAACGTCGTCAATAATAATTAGAAGCGGTCAAATTCTTGAAATCCATTTGTAACACTTATTTTTTCCGTACTTTATTTAGTACAATTTTGAATCCCTGTTCGCTTATAGTTCGCCAAAGTTCTAATTATTCCGTCTAGATTTATTTATAATGTTTTCTGAAATCGTGCGCCTTCTCGACAAACAGCCGAAGTTTTACGAATACATGAGAAATACAACTTTCACCCTGTTTCCGAACCCACTGAAAAGATTTCCCTTCCTTCAAATAATGACAAAATTGTATTACATAATTTCCTATGGAGAGAAATCAAAGTATTGGTTAGAACATGAAAGTTGACACTGTATTACCTAACAATATGAGCGATAAATAAAATAAATACGAATTCTACAAAATCATAATTTGATGCATATACGATCATCACACCGAAACCTACCTTCTTCGAGTAAACGGGCTCGTGAAATAGCATCATGTTTGATATTAGGGTGATTGAATGAATTTGATTTGATACTTTGTTTATTATCACAAGTTAATATGCACCGTGGATTAAAGACCGGAATGTAGCCTGGAGGTAAAGTCACCTGAATTGGATGAGTTTTGAATTCATTTTGTTTTGTTGATTCACTGCAAAATCCAGGCAAAGTATCTGAGGATGATTTGTTCAGTTTTTGAGATGAACCTGACGATTCAAATATGACATCAATTTTGATTAACTGATTGTATTATTTCAAAAATTGGTACATGTATAAAAAAAATCGGCGAGACTAATTTATGAACGAAGCAATCAGGTATAAGCCAACAGGTCTCGGACTTTGGAGTGAAACTCACTCATCCATTTGGCTAAATACAGTCTTGGTATTATAGCTAATGTCAGTTCGTGATGAAAACCCTAAATCCAATTCCGAACCTCAAACATCAACTGTAAATCCTAATTCGAATTCCTCACACTAAATTGTAACCCTCATTTGGTCCTAGTTATTATTATTATTATTATTATCAATGGCTTTATTCAATATTATATTTTGGTACAATATAGAATTCTCAGCACAGGGTATTTCAACAAGTTACTTACTGAAAAAAAAACGAACAAATAGGCAGTAGAAAATACAAAAAAAATTTTTTTTTAAATAAATTTTTAAAAAAAAAAAACTGTGCAAACTTTTCAAAATTAAAGACATGTTAAGAATGTAAATTATTAACTAGGTTATTTCTAACAACCTGTTCGTCACATAGTATATTTGCTAGGTAAGGAATTATAGAACTTTTATACTTTTCCTTACGTGCATGGATTTTAATGTAATTATGTCTCGTTCTACCAGAAGATATACAAGGAGAAAGATAAGAATGAAGGGGATGGCTAGTATCTGATAAAATAACACCTGCCAGGAGTTTGCATGACTTTAGATGTCTATCCACAATCATATTAATTATGACCTCGAAAGATTCACCACACATCTTGCTAACTGCCTTCAGCACTCTTCGCAATACAGCAAAGTCTTTTCTCAAAAGCCCGGTAAAGAATAATGGAGAACAGTAAAGAATAATAGGTAAAATGCAAGAATTGACAAATTGTAAGAGTAAATGACGAGTAATCCCAAGAGCATGCAATCTCTTTATGTAGTAGGTCAGACGGAAAACCTTCTTCGATAACGATAAAACGTGGGAAGACCAAGACAGATCGAGTGGACACTGTCAAGGTCAGCCTAGCGTCGCTCAAAGGTCGTCCATAAATTATAGTCTCACCAAAAAGTTTACTTACTTGTGCTATATCAATTCATTAGTAAGTGGATAGATATTGAAGTAACATATAAAGCTATGAGTATATGATAGTCGTTGATAATTTCTACAGATAAATGATAGATACAGTCGCATACACAGTGTATGACACCTACAGTTCATATTACCAACTATCGTACTTCATATGTGGACTTTAGGCGATATTAATATCAAATAGTGGACTTAAAACGAAAAAAATATTCTACTACCATTTAATGAGACTAATAGACATCGTCTGATACTACTCATAAGTAGTCCAAATATTTAGTTGCAAACAGCAGATTGCTCATTGAATTTAAGTGATTTCTGTGGTTGACATAACCACTAAATAATTTCATTGAGTTCAGATATAAGATGGATTGCATGAACCCTCAACTGACAAGTACAGTATTAAATACTTACGGTGTTGTGAAGGAGCAGTCCACCCATCAATAATTTTAGTACGTTCAGTAGAACTAGAATTAACTTGTGATTTCTTCTTCGTAGTAGACGACAAACGTCCAAGTCTAGCAGCCTCAATTTCAGCCTGTTCTTCTTGTGCTATATCAATTCATTAGTAAGTGGATAGATATTGAAGTAACATATAAAGCTATGAGTATATGATAGTCGTTGATAATTTCTACAGATAAATGATAGATACAGTCGCATACACAGTGTATGACACCTACAGTTCATATTACCAACTATCGTACTTCATATGTGGACTTTAGGCGATATTAATATCAAATAGTGGACTTAAAACGAAAAAAATATTCTACTACCATTTAATGAGACTAATAGACATCGTCTGATACTACTCATAAGTAGTCCAAATATTTAGTTGCAAACAGCAGATTGCTCATTGAATTTAAGTGATTTCTGTGGTTGACATAACCACTAAATAATTTCATTGAGTTCAGATATAAGATGGATTGCATGAACCCTCAACTGACAAGTACAGTATTAAATACTTACGGTGTTGTGAAGGAGCAGTCCACCCATCAATAATTTTAGTACGTTCAGTAGAACTAGAATTAACTTGTGATTTCTTCTTCGTAGTAGACGACAAACGTCCAAGTCTAGCAGCCTCAATTTCAGCCTGTTCTTCATCTTCGTCATCGTTTGATTCACCATCCCCTATTTCCCAATCATATTCTGCTAAACGATCTTGTTCGTACACATCAGCATCTTCTTCCTCTAAAGCACCTACACCGAAAGCATGGCCTAGAGAAGAGTATAAAAAACATGATCGGGTTTATGTAATAAGTGTCCGGTCACTACCTGAGAATAGTTAACTCATTGATTATTTTTATTATTTTCGATGAAGTTATCATTTGCAAGTTAAAACAATTGATGATATGAAAAAATGGTGGATCAGTTTGAACTGTCAAACTAAGTGACACTACGAAGAAACCACCAGATGACAAGAACAATTAGGATAAATTAAGACGTGTTTCTTGACCTTAAACTGTGTAACTTTATGTTGATGGTTGATCCATTCCCTCTAACCAAGGTTGGACCTATTTGCGCAACTGACATCAACCTTAAACAGTATTTAAACACTAATTACTGATAATATTATTTCGATGAGGAAGACTAGATTTACCGCATTCACTAATAATGACAAGTAATATCTTCATAGATCATTACAACGCCATCTAATCATCATGGGGTTTTCTTCTTTATTCTGCATTCACAATACCAAACGAAGATCGATAAGTGAACAATAAATAAATATGAACTACATATGTTTCAGGCACATCGGTCAATATCGATTCAGGATTTTAATTGCTTTTACCTTTTTTCCTTAATTATTACTCCTGTAACTAAACAAATGACATCAGCTAATAACCTACTTCACGACAAAGAAAACAGCTCAATGTAATTATGTCCTATGTAAGATCGACTATATATATTATGCACAAAAAATATGTACATTACACCACATTTTACTTACCGGTTATGCCATGACGTTTTAATCCACTTTTAAGATCGAATTCATTTTCGTTACGAATTTTCTGTTGTCTGTGTAACAGTGCACTGACAGACTCTTCTGGGTGTCTGTTTGACCAAATATCCTCAGCATTATTTGAGTTAAGCTTACGCCGACCCATAGCGACTTCTGGATCCAATGGTGAATACCCCAAACCAAATGTATTAGTTTTAGCCACAAAATTAATTTGAGCGAACATTGTAGGACCTTATACGCAAAAAACAACAGTGATTATTTTCATATTTTATATAATTACGGTTGAATGTACAGACTAATGTTCAGTAATACAACATTGTTTAATTATATTTGAAACTTCCTTCGAACTACAAATCCAAGAGGGCTACCAACATAACCATTAACCACACCATTCATCATTAGTGTGAATTTGTCACAAACGACACAATGGGTTTACAACTACAATGATATGATCTTTCAATCGCTGAATGGTCATACTATAAAGATATCTAGGTGAAAAAAGTAAGAAGTGACGAAACTAGATTCGCCACTTGTTGATATCTATCAGCAATGAGTCTATGACTTCAAGACAGCTGAGAATCTTCCTAGAATTCAAATTTGCACCATCCAGTAATACAGTCATAGCGCCTACGATTAAATGCCTACAGTTACATTCAATGTCCTACCCTGTAAATCAGAACCGATAAACTATTAAATTTCACAAATAAGACATCTAAATTTTGTAAAACGATATTCCTTACTTTTTTGGAATTTACTAACCCAGAATGATACAACTGAGGCATTCGAATTGTAAAGAACTTAAATTTTGTCAGAAGTTCAAACATATCTAAATAATAGAAGTTCAAGTGTGTTCTGAACATTGAAATAACTAACTCCATACATTTAACATGATGAGAACAATTTATTCATAGCTCCATATATCACAACTCAACTGATACTGGTTAAAACCACAAAATAAGAGTCCTACAAATATTTTATATCGTACTTGAATCTTTCTCTCCACCAAAACATTCATCAGTGCCTGTGATAGATTCTGTATCGTCTGGAAATTTTCTCTGATCCGTATTTTCTACAGTATCATCATTCAGGGGAGTTGAATGAGCATTTTTCCACCCAAGACGTCGTAATAACCTCTCAGCTAATGTACCTCTGTAGTTAAATAAATGCACAAAACAATGATGTTAACTAGACTACATTGAGATTTTTTAAGAATGTTAGTATCGCTTTAATAATTAGACATAACATATAAAAGCAGAATAGTTAATTAATAAATCAACTATAAGATAAACAGTGTTTTCGCCGGAATTTAATTAGGGTGGGAAATATGCTTTCTATGATAACAGACAGGACGGAAACTTTGAAGAATCCCGTATGAAGTAACACCCTTTGTACCACATTATTAGGGTTTGGAAGAAAAAATAAACATAAAGCAAAGGATGTCAAATTCAATGAGAAAGACATGAATGAAAAAGCAATAAGTACGGAGTAGAACAAGACAATGGGTAGAAGGATCGCCTGTTGTGAGGAATCACAAAGAGTTTATATAATACATATACCTAGCCCTTGATCAGCCATTTATATCTTGGGGTGAGTTCTGAAATCCAAAATGTCTTCTCGCCTGGTCATTAAGTATCCTACCTACGCCGAGCTTCGATTTACTGAAACTTTTCTCCGTCTGACGACTAACAACCTCCACGCCACGTGCTGCAACATACTACTTACAAACAATCCTGCGAGTACTGTCCACCACAACGGGAATATATGTATTCAAGTTATAACGGTTGATTATAAGCCATAGTTCAAAGTTTTTAAATGGTACTGTAAATCACACTGAAAAATTCAACCACGGAAACCAGGTGTTCTTGCAAATGTTGAGAACAATAGTTTATGGCATCAAGGACTATCGTTTAGCTTCTTGTCAACTGACTACAATGCCAAGCAACACAGCTTTTCAGAAAGATTGTAGCTGGGCATGTGCGATACAATTACCAATCATCAGAACCTGTAAGTGCTCGCAACCTTATCAATTGGTTAACCCATTTCTAAACCTAATACTAATATTACACAATATGTTGGTGATTATTTCAAGAAACTGACGACTGTATACCTCAATCTATATATATATATATATATATATATATATATATATATATATATATATATATAGCATCCGAGAACCACATTTTTCACCTGGATCTCGCAGGCTGCTTCAAAGTATCCTCATCTTTTAGTAACCTCTGTGAAACCAAACCAGCTTTCAGTATCCATGTTGAGATCTCGTTAGTTGTCAGATCATAAGAGTTTATGAGATCCTCAATATAAGTAAAGCAGAATGGGTTTTGTAGTTTTAGAAATTTCACAAATTGAAATCATGAGTCAGTTTAAGCTAGACCACCATTGAAAACCTGGAAGCACTGGACGGCCGTTTCGTCCTAGTATGGGACTCCTCAGTAGTGCCCATCCACGATCCCGCACCACGCGGGGCTCGAACCCAGGACCTACTGGCTTCGCGCGCAAGCATTTAACCACTGGTGTACGGTGGCGCATCTTCGTGGATTAGTTGAAGTTATACATTAACACCGTTGTATGCCGGCTCAGTGGTCTAGTGGTTAAGTGCTCGCACGCGAAGCCAGTAGGTCCTGGGTTCGAGCCCCGCGTGGTGCGGGATCGTGGATGCGCACTGCTGAGGAGTCCCGTACTAGGACGAAACGGCCGTCCAGTGCTTCCAGGTTTTCAATGGTGGTCTAGCTTAAACTGACTCATGATTTCAATCTGTGAAATAAGTAAAGCAGTTGATACATACATTCATTTTGCTCTTTCTTATTACAAGTCTCAAGATAATACTTCATAGTTGGTGTAATAAATAAATCTATAATATTCAGAAAACTCAGAATTCTTTCCGTGTTCATTCGACAGAACTATGTCTTTTGTGTACTACTAGCTAATAAGTGTCTAAGGCAGACTAACATTTCAGAAGTTAGGAAAATAGTTTTATTTCTGATATCACATGAGAACGTTGAGTGAAAATGAGGAAAATGGATACCTTCGATTCATACTACTCCAAACCCAACCGAAAGTGCTCGAGTAGAATTATGTGTTTTGACACGTATAATGACAGATACTTCCACAAGACTTGTCAATCAAATGAGGCAAATGTTGCCTTAGGGATAAAGAATGAAAGTTCTAGAATCTGAAATACACAGATTTGATTGACACATCCATAATAAAAACATAAATCTGTCCAACCTTTTTGATCTCATGTTTCTCTACCTCCAGTCAAGAATTAAATGATGATAATGATTTCGAATAACTATCAACTTCTACCTAGGATCACCGCTTTTTCATGGATTATAGTAAATATTATTCCGAAAATTAATTTCCAACTAATTTTCGTACAACTGAACAATATAGAAGGTTAAGACATTGAAACATGGAAAAGAGTAATCTCACCTGGTAGCTACAATTAATCCTTTCAAAAGTGAACCAGCTTGTGGAATCACAGACTGATCACCTAATGCTAGTTGCAATGTATCACGTACATGAGTGTCATCAAATTCATGAGTCGGTCGAATACGCCTTGGAGCAATACCGAATTCTCCGAAATCCTAAGAGGTGATTACAAAAACATTTTCACGCTATTAGATAACATTATAACTTAATACAGTATTATCCATCCATATAATATTCGTTTCTCATAAGCAATGTGTTTCATAAATTGCTTGATTACTGAGTGGTATTAATCGATTAGATATGTGTGCCTAGAAACAGGTGATGATTGTGCTTAGATGGTCTGTCAATTTTTACATGCCTGTGGAGGGTCAATAATACATTGTTGTTGTTTTACTTGTATCTTCTCATTGTTATTTAGGACTGTAATTGACCAGTCTTATGTTGGCATATGTGCATCATGTGCGGATTGTCTCGATATAGCCTTAAGTCACAAGCTTTTTAAGCAAAGATGGATAGTGGCTAGCAGTGGAATCCAGGACGCGCGTTTCGTCCTATTTGGGATTCGTCAACGCTCAGCCCGCAAACCTCCGAGCTGGCAACCAGTGATGTCAATGTGACATGGAGAGTCAATCAAAAGCAGTCTAATGAGAAGGTCAATCGATGGCAATCAGAAGTGACCCAAAAGAGAAATGCATTTTATTAGCTAAGGAACGGATCAATTTCCTAAGGATATGAGTGGTATATACACGAATGATTATTTATACATTTTATTCGGCAATCCAATATACTTTCTCACTCAAGTAGTCAGCTACGGAGGAAGGGTTAGCGCGTAGCACACTGTGTAGCAGTATTAGGTTTCGGACATCGCCCGTCACAACAGTCTCTGGCGAAATTATTTTTTTCAAACCAATGCAAAAATAAACAAAATTCCAGAATGCAGATTTCATCATATCAACTTATATCTATATTTCAGCAACAGCAAACAAAATTTCAAGCATCACAACTGAAAATGATCGAAATGATGGCACAAAATTTGTCAATTCATAAAATTTCAGTACAGGTTTCCGAACTAATGACTCAGACCCCAACGACTTGAACAATGACGATGATGAATAGGCTTTTTGAGCAGTTTTATTTTTCGGAAACACTAGTTACAGACAATGGACCTCAGTTCGCATCGGAAATCTTTTGGAACTTCTTAAAGAACGCAATCACACACACACTCGGTCACATCCCTACCATCTCCAAACAAACGACCAAGCTGAGCGTTTTTTGGACACCTTCAAGAAAGCTCTCATCAACTCACAAGGGGAGGGCACGACAGAGGTCATCCAGAATTTCCTGAGAACATACAGAATAACCAAGTTTCCAACCTCACCCAACAGTATCTCCCCTGATGAGTCAATATTCGGAAGGATGATTCGAGCTTCATCTGATAGCATATATTCACAAACGAGAAGACAAGATTATAAACCAAAGGCAAAAACAATTGATCTTCGGCCTCCTAATGTGTTGCTAGTGTACGTAACTATCGACATCGAGTACCTACATAGGTAGCGGGTGTCATCGTAATAAGAGTCGATGACGTGATGTACGAAATTGATGTTCCAGGTAAACGTCGGACGTGATATGTAAACCACTTCCGTAACAGACGGTCAAATTCAGATAAACAACCTCCTAGTTGGAACTTGCAACTATCTAATTGATACAGCCAGTTTGTAGCATCAGGATCAGCGCGGACGAAGTGATGGCCAGACCCCAAGAAAACCGTCATCAAGACGACATTTGTTTCAACGCCTTCAATAAAATGCAAGGAGCAAAAATTATTTTTCGGGAGGAAAGGTGGTATGGAAATCTAATCAGAGGTAGCCGAATGAGGAGGTCAACCAATGCCAATCAGAAGGACGAACGTATTTCCTCAGGGGTATATATATATATGGGTATTTGTGTATTATATTCACCAGCCCAATATATTTCACGTCCACTCTTGTGTTCTCGCTCAAGTAGTCAGTTACGGAGGAGGAGTTTGTGCGTAGCACATCGTGTATCAGTACCAGACTTCGGACACCGCCCGTTACAACCAATCCGCGATGTTGAGCGACTATATTCTATTGTCTTCGGAGGGTAACTGTCTTGCACTCGACACGACTTCTCGCTAGAACCCCGAGGATTCTCGGTGTGGTCTAGAAGTTAGGCGAGACCGAAAACGCTCGGTTCGGATTGCGTGTGCGGGATTGTGGGTGCGCACTGCTGAAGGGTCCCATGCTAGGACGAAACGGCCGTCTAGTGCTTCCAGGTTTTCAATAATGGTTTAACACTGATCGGTCCATGATTTCAATAAAATTCAACAATCTCAGCAACCCAGAACTGAAAGTTTTAGAAGTATTTAACCCGTCCAATCAAATCGTTAAAGATATGTTGATAAACAAATCATACTATTGAAGGACTATAATATGTAGTTATTCATTATTTATTGAGCTCTATCTTCAATAATCTGCCTTAATATGTAGACCTCCATTGATAATCATCCTGAACCAAACTGTAGCTGTTACCTCGGCATATTGGTCAGGTGTGCCTGTCGTAATGATCTAATTAAGGTATTTTCATGGAACACGCTGCTTAGGATGCCATTATGCTAGACAGGTCGGTAAACGTTATTAATCAGATACAGATAGTTCAAAAACTATTACGTAAATGTGGAACCCATCACAACAGAGATGCACTAATCTACTCTAAAGACTCAGACATTTTCAATCAACCACGACTTTCAAGAAATCTATATTTGGCAGATTAAGTAGCTGCAGCAGAATGTTACTGCTAGAATTTTGTCCAAGTAGAGGGCCATATTAAATTGACTGAATAAAATCTATTGGACTCAGTACTAAATAAATCTTACTTCATCATCCATAAAATCTTCTGGATGTTGGGCAAACTTTTCATCTAAATCCCTCTGTCTATTTTTACGAGAGGAGTGGAAGCTTTTAGGTTTAAAACCTGAAACAATAATCATAAAAAACCAGTCAAATCGGTAAATTAACAGGATTATATGATTGTGAATATAATAAATCTGAAAACGGATATATATAACATAAAAATTAAAGAGCATATTGCAATCTTTTTATTTCAATTAGCCTTGAAAGATTTCCTTTATCTGAAAAATACATTAAACGACAGCTGTGGGTTAGACGCATAACTTGAATTCATACTAAACAATCAATTCATTTTTCTTTCTTTAAATATATAAGTAGCGCTGAAAATCCCTCAGAGATCAATGATCACTATGAAATAATAATAACCACTGTTCAGGGTCAAGTTATTCACTTGGTGATCAAACCTGTCAGGAATACAATGTTCATATCAATTGAAAGTCATAAGTTACAATCGCCCAAAAATAGTAGGCGAGATTACAAAATAATCAAGACGGTGTTGCCATACAACTCCGCCTGTAGTTTTTCTACGACTAATGCCGGTCCCAAGCCCACACAAAGGAGGATGATTGAGCATGGAGTCAGCAACCCCATACACCAACTTCCTTGATTATGAGAAAGCAATTGACAGTGCGAATAGGAGAAAATTATAGAAACTTCTTCGACACTATGAAGTGAGTAGCTGAAAAGATTGTCAACATCATACGAAATTCATACGACAAACTACACCATAAAGTCGTTCATGGAGGACAGTTGACAGATGCATTCCAAATGAAAACCTGTGTCAGACAGGGCTGCCCACTCTCGCCCTTTCTCTTCCTCCTGGTGGTCGATTATATTGTGAAGACCTCCATGTCAGATTGGGAGCACGGAATAAAATGGGTAGATTGGATGCAACTAGACGATTTGGACTTAGTAGATTACCTGGCCCCTCTATCCCATACACATCAACAAATGCAGGTCAAGACAAACAGTGTATCAGCAGCAGCAGCAGAAGTAGAAAGCCTCAACATACACAAGGGAAAGAGAAAGATCCTCAAATACAACACAGAAAACACCAACGCAATCAAATTTGATGAAGAAACTCTGGAACAGATGGAATCCTTTATGTACCTGAGAAGCACCATCGATGAACAAGAAGGTTGAGATGCAGACGTAAAGGCAAGGATTGGCAAAGCAAGGACAGCATTCCGACAATAGAACATATGGAACTCAAAACAACTTTCAACTAATGTCAAAGTCAGAATCTTCAATACGAACATCAAGACAGTTCTACTGTACACAGTTGAAACTTCGAGAACTACAACAACCATCATCAAAAAGGTACAAGTGTTTACAAACAATTGTATAAGTAAGGTACTCAATGTCTGTTGGCTGGATACCATCAGCAACAGCGTTTTGTGGGAGAAAACAAACCAGATTCCAGCTGAGGAGGGAATTAGGAAAAGACTCTAGAAGTGGATAGCACATATATTGAGGAAAACATCAAACGGCATCAGGAAGAGAGCGCTAACTCGGGATTCTGAAGAAAAACAGAAAAGAGGAAGGTCGAAGAACACACTGCGTTGAGAATTGGAAGCAGACATGAAAAGGTTGAAGGGCAACTGGAAACAATTGGAAAGGATTGTCCAGGACAGAGTTGAATGGAGAATGCTGGTGGGTGACCTATGCTCCTCCACGAAAGGTAAGAGGCGTAAGTGTTGCCATACAACTCAAACTATGATTTCTGAAAATCGCATAGAAAAAAATCACTTAACAGTATACGAAAGCAAGTAACTTCTGGATTTACCCTCTTTAGATCCAACTGAATTGAAATATCCAGCAGAAAATCCTCCAGTGAATGCCCCGTGAAACCTCATAGGTCGACCCCTTTCATTCAGTACGCGGTTTTCATAGGCGGATGGGATAGCTTTACGTTTACCCAAAGCAAGGCCACGAAATCTGCTTTGCTCTAATAACAAATGACCTTTATTAAATCACAAACAAACCATCTTCGTCATCACTAAAAGGATCGCCATACGCGACAAACGAATATTCTTCTGGGTCAACTGGTGAGGACATTGTATGATAAACGCAATCCACTGAACTTCAAATTCTCATACCTATAGATTGTGAGTAACAGTAACAAAATCAATAAAAAATACATCACAAACGTGTGCTTTTACTCATTTGGTCCTTATTGCGTACAAAAATAAACCTTGATACTACTTTACTTACTGGTTTTCAGACTTCTTTAAACGAAATATAGTGTGCAGCTACAGAATACCAAATATGTCATTAGATTGATGAGTGAATCGTGATTAAATCAAACAGTTTATAAGGACCCGGCAATAGGTTTACACTGCTCTCCTGCGATGGCTTGAGTGGCCAATTACTAAGAGTAACATAGTTCCAGGTAGAGTACATGATTAGGTATAAGTGGTATTTATTAATGAGAGTTGACTCAAAGCAGGAATTGCTAGAAACTTTGCAAGTTTATTTATTCATTTGAACACATAAATATTGGTACAAGGGTGCACGAGATATATATGCTTGTCGCAGTTAAGCAACGTTGGGCCCGGTCAGTACGTACATGGGTGACCGACTGGAAATACCGCGTGTCGCCGGCTTTCTTTGGCGACCATACTACGTTGAAAACTTTGCAAGTACTCAGATAATTCACTTTATATTTACTGGGATGAGAGTTGTGCTCATATCCTTATTAAAAATGAAGTAAAACCTATAATACGAACAAAAATTGGATGAGGATGGATTCATCCACACTCAGCAAACAGTTAGTTTAAGCCACAAGAATTTGGTTATTTAGTCTCTGAAGAAGTGACTTACACTAAGTCACGAAACGTCAGAAAATCCAATTTTCTACTCATTGGGATATTACAAATATATTATTTTTACTTGAATGACATGGCTCAAAATCGTTTTCAATGGAGCATGTGTATCCACTCTTTGCGTTCTACAAATTCAAATATTCTGAATTTTTCATGTCCCTTTCTTTGTTCTCTTTCCAAATTTGTTTCACCAGAATATACTCTTTGAAAAGCGTCTTCAAACTCTAATCTTTCTGACTAGTGTTTATACTTTTACTACCTCTACCACTATGGGATTTGAGTCGACAATTGTATCTGTGTGGTAATTTTGTATGGCGACTCGAACTGATGTATGCACATACGAAGTTCTACGTTGTTACTGACTGACTGATTATGAGAAGTATAGTAAAACTTGTGATATTGTTTATAGTTCATTATAGGTATCCATATAGTCAAACTATTTCATTAAACGTCACATAGATCTGTTTCAGGTTGACTGTTTTCTAAAAGTCTACTCTATTTTTTAACTTCACATAATATTTAGATTAGTTTTCGTATACTCAAAGCGAAAGTGAATAATGTTACAGTTTAGTCTGATCCACTTGAAGAAGCATTTTGAAGGACATTAAAAACAAATCGAACTAAAATTGTTCAATCACTTGAAAATGACTTGGTTGCAATTAAATCTAAAACTAAATATTGCGATAGCCTAAGTTCTATACTTATTGCCTATGTGGAAAATAATTTACTGAATTGTAAAATTTCTAAAACAATAGGTAGAAAAATTGGTAGATTTGTGCGGCGCACACGTATTTGTACCAATGTTTATGTTTAAATACATGACACTTAGAAATAAGCTTCTGCTTTAGGACAGGATTTGGAATATTTATATATGTGCCATAAATCTTGAATCTAGTTATATTTATCGTTTAGGTCTAACTATAAATTTAAAACTTTAAATCTGAACCTCGACATTGATCCACAAACTACGAAATTTTCCGAGCTCTAAGTATTAATTTCAATCCAAACCATAATATTGAACCTAAATCCTAGATTTAGCACTGTAAGTAATATGTATCTATATGTACTGTGTTCTGGTCAGGCGAAAAGACTGAGCCTTCAGGAGTAACTCAAACTTGCCACTAAATTGAGGTGTACAACTCATTCTGTTACGTAAGCGTTGAAGAGTTAAAAGAGGCTACTGGTGCTCAAGTCATAAGTGTTTTTGATGCAGCGGAAAAACGAAGAGCAGCGTAGGTTAAGCTGGAAGACAGAACAAGAGAAATAGAGCAAACGACTATATAAGGATATAGAATATTCTGTTCAGTGGATATGCATTGACATCGAGTGTTAAAATTTATCAACAACGGACAGCGATGAAAAAAATGATAATCGGGTTTAAAAATTGATGACGTTAGGTTTTGAGGGCGCCACGACTGGTCAGGCCCAAGCTTACCATACTCATGCCCCAGCGACCTTGAGTAACCCAGCCAACCTTGAACAAGTCGAAAGCCCGCAGTTAGACAAACTGAAGACCCAATTGAAAATAAGCGAACATCCAAAATCGTGATGTAAAAAATCAAATGAATTACTGCAAACCTAATTAATGAATAAAAAATTTTTACATTACACGCAAAATGGGCAATTCTATCTTGCATTATAAGCTTATTTGTATTATCTTAAGCAATTGAAAAAACCGAGATCCTGAAATGCAGCACAGAGAACGTCAACCAACCTCACATATGGAAAATCTATGGAATGGCTGAGAACTTTCATATACCTTGACAACATCCTCGATGAAAAAGGAGAATCTGATGTAGATGCAAATGCAAGGAATGACAAAGCAAGAACAGCATTCATTTAAAGAACAAAGCAAAATCAGGAACAAGACTTTCAAACTCAAAAAATAGTAGGAAGAATACCCCAAGTATGAATAATAAGGTCTTGTGTTTAAACCAGAGTTAAGCATGGTGGTACTAGGGTAGCGATGGATGCAAAATTAACACATAAACTTTGAACCATGCAATTCAATTTTACGTTTACCGGAACATTAAAATCAAAAGTAATATCTATTCATCACCGCGTATGAGATGACATTGACAATACAACCATAGCATAAGTGAGTGTACTTGACACACCAACGACAACAGCAGAAACATAAAAAAGACTAAACAGAACTCTGTTTAAAACCCCATCAATTGTGGCACACAGACATGATCGACTGGAGCAGGTCCTGTCACTGGAGCAAGACATTGACGAGAAATAATTATCATTTCAATCATCTCCAGTTAACTATTCAATGATCAGCGGTCTTCGAACAATGTACACATGGTGGGTTTTACAATAGTTTAACGACTGAGACTTGACAATTAACTGCACCGATCATTTTATATGCTATACTTCAAATTGTATTTCGATACTATAACTCACTTAATTTCTGAAATTGCCTGTCCAATTTGCTGAGTCTGTAATCGTTTACGGTCAGTATTTTTTAGCCAAAAAGCTGTTTCACATTTTTGGTCATGAAGCACCATAATAATCTTAGATGGTAATAAACTTTCAAACTACTTATATCTGCACCCGCAATTTTAACCAATACAGGCCTTCAGTTTATATATGTTCCATGTACCGTACCCACCTTCATTGTTTGATGCTAATTGTTGGGTTCTAAATGAGGCTATCTTTCCGTGTAATATATATGTTAAATTTTACACAATGTGCACCTTTATGTTCTATTTTGCCACCACACATTTACTGACATACATACTACATCTCTACTACGATCTTCCTGCAATTCTCCCCTCTCGTTTTTGATAACTCTAATAATCCTGACGTTACGTTCGCTCTTGTTTTAAACATGGGTTTTGATTTCCAGACCATCTTCATCCTTCGACATTGATTTTTTCACTCATTTCTATTTACAATATGTTGTTCAATCCACTTGCTATTTATCACTTTCTTATCATGCCACAAAAGAAAACGAAGGCCCTTGTTTCTGGGCGTTCAGCCAAACGTGGGAAAACGACATAATCTGCACTACTACCGACACGAGTTCCCACTGTTTCAACGAGACTAGCTACTCCTTTCATTCGGAAGCAGACAAGCTTATACCATTTGTCTCCATTCCAGACATGTCGAAGACTCTAAAAATAAACAATGATAATAATCACAGCTGCAACCATATGTGTGATATAAAAAGTTGCAAGTTGACATAAACGAATCAAATTAATGGCATATATAATTTCATAGTTCGTGTTGCTTCTGAAGTATTTGAAAGAACAAGACGAACTGGCAGTGCAATCGCGTTTAATATACCGGATACATATACTTTTAAAAATATCCAGTCTAATCTGCGTAAAGCCAGCAATATGACACGTATATCATGTGTAAGAACAAGATTTTTAAAAAGTCACCCTGGTATGCACTCACCAATCCTGTTCAAATTCAACTTGTCTGTAGACGCCAATGAGTTACTAACCTTCTCCAATTCAATCAGAAAAAGACAGATTTTCAAGGATATTAAGATTCTTCCAGATAGAACACCATGCTAGCGAAAACCAGAAAGAAATGCTTACAGACCACCAGCGTCAAACTCTCAAACGCATCATAATCCTAATGGTCACAAAAGTAAATCCGATTTTAAGACGATAACTAAATTTACAAATATGCCACCATTGATAAAATCACCTGAAACTTAAAAACTTGAAAACCCGCAAGAAAGTAATCCCGATGCAGGTAGTCTTGTAAAATCATGGTCTAGTATGATATTAGTACTGCTCTAATAATAGAGATTATCTTAAACTTGCACCTATATCATGATGTAACTACCTAATCGATAAGATCTTACGTGGAAGTCACATCATTGTCTACACTGATTCATCGTATCTTATCAATAACCAATATATCATGGAGAACACATTCAGGCTGGAGATAGAACAATATATTTAATGTGATTAAAAGCAAGTTGTACAGATCGACCACGCCTGCAAGGCCGAGCCATGCCATCCAACCAATCCAGATTAATTCGATTCGTTGTTCGCGCCTTCTTTATCGTTATGTTTTTCTCCGCGTTAAATATCGAATATCTATTTTCCTAGTTGTCTCGTGTTCAGGTTTGAGGATTGTGTGGTTAGGGCCAATGCCACTGCACTACTCTCTCACCAGAATCAACGTGATTTTGTTTCGATACCGAATTGGATGGGATTGTCGCGCGCCGGAGGTTACCAAGATTAATGAGAATCCCCCGCGTTCTATTATTATTATCATCCATAAACATCTTATGGGCACATAAGTGTTGTGAAGAAAACATTTCGTGTTTCTTCAAAAATGCAATAATACACAAGTTTCAATTATGTTAGCATTATATTTGCCATATTTGAAAAAGATTATTAATAATAAATCAGGTTCTGTGTAAGTGGGAAGAATATTGAGTTGAGTTTAAAGAAAGAAAGGAAGAAAATAAGGGAATAGAAATAAAGGAGACTTAAAATACGCACATAGTGTAATAGCCGCGTTTATGAACACAGAACAAAAACAAACGACTATGTTTGTACAGTCAAATTGGTAACAAAAATAAAATAGAATATAATCGACAAAAAATAACTTGTTATTGCAGTAGCTCATGACGCTAGAATAAATGTTTTTGCAGTCATAGTTTGGAGACAAACAGTATAAGCTTGTCTGCTTCCGAATGAAAGGAGTAGCTAGTCTCGTTGAAACAGTGGGAACTCGTGTCGGTAGTAGTGCAGATTATGTCGTTTTCCCACGTTTGGCTGAACGCCCAGAAACAAGGGCCTTCGTTTTCTTTTGTGGCATGATAAGAAAGTGATAAATAGCAAGTGGATTGAACAACATATTGGAAATAGAAATGAGTGAAAAAATCAATGTCGAAGGATGAAGATGGTCTGGAAATCAAAACCCATGTTTAAAACAAGAGCGAACGTAACGTCAGGATTATTAGAGTTATCAAAAACGAGAGGGGAGAATTGCAGGAAGATCGTAGTAGAGATGTAGTATGTATGTCAGTAAATGTGTGGTGGCAAAATAGAACATAAAGGTGCACATTGTGTAAAATTTAACATATATATTACACGGAAAGATAGCCTCATTTAGAACCCAACAATTAGCATCAAACAATGAAGGTGGGTACGGTACATGGAACATATATAAACTGAAGGCCTGTATTGGTTATTTCTAACAACTAGAGTTAAACGTCTTTATGTGTATGGAACTTCCAGACTATGTGGATGACTGTAATCATCATTCAAATGGCAACGGAATCAACGAGATACATTTTGGCGGCTCTGGGAATCAGCAAACCCAGTGGTTAGCAAATGTTAGATGTAGTATAGTTGCTGGTGTCTTCTGGTTACGTAAAGGAAAATGCTCCGCACACTCAAGGATTAGCTCTGATGCTGTCCAAAGAAGCACAAAATTTGATTATGGGTTGAGAATCTCATGAATCCAGGATAATCGAAAAATCAATTTAAGCAAAAAGAAGGGAATTACAATGAATGCTATCCAATGTTATGTACACACTAATAATAGCAACAACAGCGGTAACGATCAGTTCCACGAGAGTCTGCAGTCGATCATAGCAAAGCGCGACGATGGAACTGACGGGGAAATATATTAAATCATAGAAACCGGTCAAGGATAAGGATGGCTAGAAAATCAATGAAATTCGAAAACAGAGGGACAGATGGGCGAAGGACTTCGAGGAACTCATGGATACACCAGCTTCATTGAATCTATCGGATATCGAAGCTGCACACACAGACCTTTTTATAGCTGTCACCCTACCAATGAACAAAGAAATCAGGATGTCCACCAAACAAGTCAAAAGCGGGAAAACAGCACAGCCCGACGATATACCAGTCGAAGCACTAAAGTCAGACGTAGAAGTAACTGTAAAAATGTTTCAAACTCTGTTCAGGAAGATTTGAGAGTAAAAACAAGTGCCGATGGATCGCATAGTAGGACACCTCATGAAGATACTAAAGGAAGGAGATCTGAGCGAATGTAAGAACTACAGATGAATCACAGTAATATTTGTACCAGGAAAGGTTTTCTACAGTGTTGTTGAATCGTATGAAAGATTCATTGGAAGCCCAACTTCTTGATCGACAGACCAGATTCCGTCGGTCGTACACAGACCAAATCGCGACACTACGGACCACCGGTAAACAATCAATTGGACGGAACTCGTCACTATACACCAACTTCTTTTATTATGAGAAAGCATCTGACAGTGTGTATAAGAGAACATTATGGGAACTTTTTCTTGGGTCTAGGAACTTAACTCTAAAAAGGTTGTGCTAATATACATGGCAATAGTTGCCAGTATTCTATCATCAATACATCACTTCCATGCATGCAAGAACACATAGACCTACAGGTAACAGTAAGTCATGACTTAAAAACAATTGCGCATTGCTAAGCAACAGCCTCTAAAGGTTTTAAAGTTATGGCCACCTTGAAGATATGTTTCGGACTTTGCGTCCCATATATGTACGGCT